AGAAAATGGTAAACCAGATCTAGTAATTATCGATAGAATGGAGGAAAAGATGGATATTTTCGAGCTTACTGTCCCATTGGAAACAAATATCAAAAATGCCAACGCTCAAAAGATGAACAAGTATGAACATTTTATTACAGATATAACAACTAGGGATGTGTCTGTTCATCCTTTTGAAATCGACTCAAGAGGATATATCTCACCATCAAATAAGGCGATTCTAAAGAAACTGCATAAGTTCTGCAAACCCAGTGTTAGTTTCAAAGCAATGTGTGAAAATCTATCAAGCCTTGCAGTACTCTCATCATACCACATTTTTAGAAAACGAAAAACACTAGACTGGGACCAAGAAACCCCTTTTCTAAAAACCACCTCTGAATAGCTAAACTATACTCATACTAAAAGTCTTATATTGCACCTGTTTTTTGGCAAACCCTGTCAATTATAAAATGTGATATCCAGAGAAAAGAGTATTAGTTTGTAAACTTTTATATTGTTTAATTTAATTTTGCTTTAGACAAATATAAATGATAAATATATTTTAACCATTGACAAATTTAGCTTAAGAAAATGATAATTTACAGAAAACTTTCAGGAACCATTTACATTGTAAAGGAACTTGCAAGTATCCTGTATCCAGTATCCTGTATTCAGTATCCTGTATCCAGTATCCTGTATCCAGTATCCTGTATCCAGTATCCTGTATCCAGTATCCTGTATAGGGGGGGTTTGTATTGTTAAAATAAGAATTAGGTTGACATGAACAGCTGGAGTTTAACTAACAGTGTAAACCAAGAGTTTAAAGGGTCTGTTCATGGTTAACTTACAATTCAGAGCCTCTGAATCAGAGGTAATGTTCACTATGGGTCAGTTCTCGGTACACTTAGAATTCAGAGGTAATGTTCACAAAGGGTCAGTTCACAGTAAACTTAGAATTCAGAGGTAATGTTCACAAAGGGTCAGTTCACAGTAAACTTAGAATTCAGATGTATTGTTCACTAAGGGTCAGTTCACAGTAAACTTAGAATTCAGAGGTAATGTTCACTAAGGGTCTGTTCACGGTAAACTTAGAATTCAGAGGTAATGTTCACTAAGGGACAGTTCACGGTAAACTTAGAATTCAGAGGTAATGTTCACTAAGGGTCAGTTCACGGTAAACTTAGAATTTAGAGGTAATGTTCACAAAAGGTCAGTTCATGGTTAACTTAGAATTTAGAGGTAACGTTCACAAAGGGACAGTTCACGGTAAACTTAGAATTCAGATGTATTGTTCACTAAGGGTCAGTTCACGGTAAACTTAGAATTCAGAGGTATTGTTCACAAAGGGTCTGTTCGCAGTGAGCTTCGAATTTAAAGGACAAGTTCTCAATATTTCTGTTATTCTAATAGCATTGTGCACAGTAAACTAAAAAAGTTTGTTCGCGCTGAAAATGAAGAATTGGCTGCACATTAATCAAGTTGTCTTCTATAAAATATCCAATATGAGTTATATCTAAATATGATTTGTGTTTATAAGCATTTATTAACATTTCTAATATTTACATCACCCCTGGAAAGAAACTGGGATATTTTACAAAATATTTTTAAAAATTAGGTTTTCCTCATTTCTCAATAATCTCAATAGTCTCAATAATCTCAATAATCTCAATAATCTCAATAATCTCCATAATCTCAATAATCTCCATAATCTCAATAATCTCAATAATCTTAATAATCTCAATAATCTCAATAATCTCAATAATCTCAATAATCTCAATAATCTCAATAGTCTCAATAATATCAATAATCTCAATAATCTCAATAATATCAATAATCTCAATAGTCGAGTTGTTTTCTATAAAATATCCAAAGTGAGTTGAATATGATTTATGTAAATAAACATTTATTAATATTTTGATATTTGCTTCATCACAGGAGACTAATATGGATTTTTACACTACAAATTAATTTGCAAATTAGTTTTCCACATTTCTGTAAATGAAGAATTGGCTGAAAATAATCAAGTTGTCTTCTATAAAATATCCAAAATGGGTTAAATATGATTTGTGTTAATAAACATTTATTAATATTTTTGATATTCATATCACCCCAGAGCTGACCAGTATGGATTTTCAATACTGCAAAAAAATTAAGTCTATGCCACAAACTCAAATTTGTTTATTCCTATATCTTTGATGGTGCAAACCTTTGATATTTTAAACTTAGACTATTTGATTTAACAGAATTCAGAGTTTTAAATATCTAACTGTGTTGCAAAGATAAATTGATTAGAAAATTCGAGTTTGTGGCAAAGACCCAATTTCTTTAATTTTGCAAACTTACATCTTACCATATTTCTGAAAATAAAGAATTTACTAAAATCGAGATGTTTTCGATAAAATATCCAATATTTTTATTTATATCAAAGTATATATTTTTTATTAACATTTTTGATATTTCCATTACCCCTGGAGACGAAATTGATTTTTTTATAATTCAAAATTTGTTTTTCCTGTGAAAAACTCTGAATTTATAATCCCTATATCTTTGGAACCCAATATCTCACTTCTTTGATATTTCAAACTTATATTATTTGATCTAACAGAATTCATAGTTTGAAATATCTAAGGTCTACGGCATTGGAATCCAAAGATTTACGGTTTAGAAAAGAGTTTGTGGCAAAGACTCAATTCCTTTGTTTTTTTTTTCACAGGAAAAACAAATTTTGAATTATAAAAAAATCAATTTAACTTTAATGTTTTGGTTACAGAGGGTATAGTAGAAGGATTGGTTGGAGAGTTTGCAGGGATGGGGGGAGGAGTATTTTTTCTGTTTACATATTGTATATATTGTTAATATTGTTCTCTTTATATAGAGCAAATATAATGTACAATATACATACTCAATACAACCAATATGTTCCGTAACATTAATAGATAGAAATGTTTGAATACATTTTATTTTAAATATGGGAGCTCAAAATCCCGCCCCACCACATCCTTCCCTTTATCCCATCACATCCTTCCCTTTATCCCACCACATCCTTCCCTTTATCCCATCACATCTATCCCTTTATCCCACCACATCCTTCCCTTTATCCCACCACATCTATCCTTTTATCCCACCACATCCTTCCCTTTATCCCATCACATCTATCGGCCACCATTATTGATGTTTCCTCTAAATTTCCCCCCTTTTCATGAGATATTTAAGAAAACATTTAATAATAAAGTTTCCGTATTTGTACCTTGCTTCTTTTTCTCCTCTTATTCTTCTGGGGTTTCCTGTTTTTTTCAATTTTTTCATATTTTTTTCTGCCCACCCTCCTCCCCCTCCTTCCTTCTCACTCGGTTTACGATGATTCTGTTGAAACAAATGTTTAAAATTCTTAAGTTCAGAACTCTACGAAAAGTCAATCAGATGTTGACTTGGTTCTACTTTATACCCTTTACTCTGTAAGGAATAGATCTTCTTCTCCTTCTCCTCCCTGGGGATAGATAACTAGCTCTCCCAGGGTTTGGTCAAGGATAAGAGATGGACCCCGGAGCAGTATAATTGACACCCAGCATTCTTTAACAAACCCTTGATTTTATTATTTTCAACTAAACCAAAAAATCCAACTTGAAGACCTCCTACTACGACTCTTCTCCCCCCTCCCCCCCCTCCCTTCTTGAATTCTACTAGAAATCAACTCATACTTGTTCCCTTCCTTCCTTCCTTTACCTTTGCACATTATCATCCATTCTTGGTAATTTTCTAAACAACGTTTTATCAAAACCCCCAATGCATCCCCTCTATTTTTGTGCATCAAGGACAGAGTTTTATGAAGAAAAAAATATCTTTTAAATAACAGTTTATCATCAAACTGCTCAAGATGTTTTTTGTTTTCTATTATTCCTAAATTAAATCCTCATGTGGCTGATGAACCTTTTCCTTTATATCCAATACCCCATCTATGCTCTGAACTTCCTTTATTAATTAGCATTCTTCCATTTCTAGTCTTTTTATCTTTGGTTCAGATTTTTATCAAGATTTTATCTTAAACCTTCCAATCCAATATTCCAACCTTTATTCTTCTTCAATACTCCTATCTGACCATTTTACCCCCACAATGTTGACCCCCCTCTGTCATCCAACCCCCCAGAATGTTGACCCCCCTCGTGCCCAAGTAATTGATATTTTACATGAAATTATTCCAGCAGTGTTTGGTATTTCAGAAAGAAGGGGGTTTAAAATTTCAAATAATGTTAAACCTCGACGATTTCCAATTAGAAGAAGTTGAACTAGGTCAACTTCTCTTACCTCATTCATAAATTACCAACTTAGATAGATTAGCCTTGACAATTTTAACATTCTACTTTTAGTAAATTTTGATCATTAGTTTGTTAAATATTATCTCTTACTTTGACATAAGTTGATATGTTTGCTGTACACTGTATGCTGGTAGTGTATGTGTACAAAAATAAAAATAAGTTCTGTTTATACTATTAATTGATCTTGTCTGCAATCCTGAATTGTGGTTTGAACTTTTAAATTTTAATGTCACATCCCCCCTACTGACCAACTTCTGACCTACTAACTTTCCGGCCAACTGTAATATCGCATCTACGACAGCTGTTTATATTTTGCATTATTTGAGGGTTAGGGTTGCTTAAGACAATTTCTGGGCCGAGCGCTGCTGCAAGAACAAGCTAAAGGGTCGAGCGCCACGGCTAGGACAGGCTAGGGGGCGGACGCTGCGGTCACAAGTCCAACTAGATGGTGTAAAACCATGTGCTATTAGGATGGAAATGTAGTATAGCGGATTTGGCCTAGGTCACAAGTGGAGTGTAACGGATGTGCGTAGGTCGAAAGATACACCATCGTTTCAAATGTATAAAATCTGTCCGACTTGAAATTCTAGTTGTGCCGGGCCGACTAGTTCTCCACCAAACCTAGGTGTACCAGGCCGTCTAGTTCTCCACCAAAGCTAGGTGTACCAGGCCGTCTTGTTCTCCACCAAACCTCCGCGCTATCTCTCTTTCATCTCTCCGGTCCCCAGACCAGTCGCAACCCGACACTCAACACGAAACTTAAAAAATTGAAAAATATTGAAAAAATTGAAAAATGAAAAATCGTGAAAAATGACAAAGTGCTCAGTGATCGTTCTTGTTCTGCTGGAAGTGATTGGTTATCTAAAAACAGTAGATTGTGATCGAAAGCATGTGATTGAAAAACGGTCCTATGATAACCAGCTTTGTAATCCTAAGCATATGCAAAAGGTATTTTAACCCCCCCCCCCAATGAAGGCATAGTTTTCCTGTATTTATGTGAAAAAAAACTATATCAATGTTGTTTTCAATAAAAAGTTATTTGTGATATTTTCTAAAATAAAAAAGAAACCAATAATATTATTTTTTTTCTTCGCAATGTCAAGTTTTTAAAATATTGAAACATTTTGGTGTGCGTTACATATATAAAGTTTGATTTAGCATTTATTTCTATAAATATACATCTTTTTTTAAGTAAATATGTTTGAATGAAAATCAAAACAGTTTGAAAAAGAAAATCTTAGGTTTTACAAACAACATCTTCATAATTACATATTGTACATGTTCGGTGACATGTACATTGTACAATATACAAACATTGTTTACACTGAACATAAAAGAGTTGAAGAAGAGTTATATTTAATGCCAAGATCAATGCATCAAGCAGTCAAGCCAAGAATAGAATAAACATATGCTTGTTGCAAACCCTAATTACATTCTGCCATGTTTGATATTTGTAGGATTTTTAAAGGAAACTTTTTACAATTTACAAATTAGAGTTGTTTTATTAAAATCGGGAAAATCCTTATTACAGCTTAATTTATACATACAGCCATACCATAAAAATCACGAAACCTTCTTAAACTCAATTATCTTTTTGAAATATTAAAACCTTTCAACATTGTCATTGAGTTTTCAACATTGTCATTGAATTTTCAACATTGGCATTGAGTTTTCAACATTGGCATTGAGTTTTCAACATTGTCATTGAGTTTTCAACATTGTCATTGAGTTTTCAACATTGTCATTGAGTTTTCAACATTGTCATTGAGTTGTCAACATTGTCATTGAGTTTTCAACATTGGCATTGAGTTTTCAACATTGTCATTGAGTTTTCAACATCGTTATTGAGTTTTCAACATTGTCATTGAGTTTTCAACATTGTCATTGAGTTTTCAACATTGTTATTGAGTTTTCAACATTGTTCTTGAGTTTTCAACATGAAAAGAAGAAAAAATAGACATATCAGTCTCAAAGAATTTTTTTTTGTTATTTTTCCCCTTAATTTTAATTCAAGACCTATATTATTTCAGCCTAAAATCATTTTCAAAATTTTAATGAACCCCCCGCCCCCCCCTCCTTCTGAAGACACTCCCCCTTCCTTTAATCTTCGAACCTTCCAATCGACTAGGGTTAATGATTTCCTCCTCCTTCCTCCCCTCCTCCCCTCCTGCCTGAAATAACAAAATGGCTTCTCCCTTGAGATAGTAAACATTCCATGAATTTGTTTTCGCGGATTCCGCGCTAATATTGTTTATGCCCCGCCATATTTTAAAGCAACAAAAAACGCGCAACGCCAACTGGTCATTCCAGGATTTTTAGAATTCGTGAACATCATCCTTCGGGCTCAATGCTTTTTGTCCCTCTTCTCGGTTTATTGTTATGAAAAGATTCAGCGGATCTATTGTGTTCAATGGATAAACGAAAACAATTTTAACTGGCTTCACAATTTCACACTCTTGCTGGGACAAGGTACAGTCGACACTTGATGAATATCATTGTGTCATGGACGAAAATAGTTAGAACAATCAAGAATCCAGCATGACATGTGTTCTTTTACAAATTAAGAGTTTGTCAACAAATGCTGACACTGCACTACAGGATTTCAGAGAAAGATAAAAAGATTAAGAAATGATCTCGTGGCAATTTGATAAAAATGTAAATTTAAATGCTTAAGATGAAGAAAAGTTTAAAAACAGAATTAATTGATTGTTTTTAGGCGTTGTCCTCAGCTGAAAGTTGTATGCCACGAGATACTGTGGTAGAACTACCCTGGTTAAATATATCAGATTCAGCTCAGGTATTGTAGTAATCTAGCACCTAACCTGACCTGGGAACTTTTAATTGCCTGAGTTAAAGTCATTTTCTCTCCCCAAAGAGTTTAACTCTCAAGGATGATGAGAGATTAGGAGTCTTTTAATGCGAGGGGTCCTAACAGATAAGTTGCATTTGAATATCATAACATAAGCTTGAGCTAAGATAAGTCTGTAGCTTAAATCCCCTCATTTAAAAGTTCCCGGCTTCAATAAATAATCAATATTAAAGATTTCTTTTAAGATTACAAGCAGAAAATATCTACGTGATTATTCTAATTCTAAATTATCTATGAACACCATAATTTATCAACATTTAAACAAAATCAAACTATTAAATTTATCTAACTACATTCTTAATCATTCTTAATCTCGTTTTCAACTTTGCAGCATTGAAAAAAAGTGAAAATGCAATTAAAGATAATCGTTTCGAAAGGTCTGAAAAATACTTAAATTTGATAATGTGCAAAATCTTTGCAAAACATGACATTTTGCAAGGTAAACCTGGCATGTATATAATGAATACATAATGAAGAATAAACAAATTAGCTCAAAATATTTTTTGAGGTCTCAATAATCACCCTCCCGCCCCCCCTAATCTTATTATGAGATTAACCAGATCACATATCATTAGAGACAAGTTTTTGCATAAAGCTTTTCGACTGTCGCCATTTTTTTGTGCAAAGTTTTGAGTGTTTGTCAAACTGAGATGTTTTTTCAAGTAACTGGGCTGGGTTTACACTTGATAATTTTAAACAAATATAGAATTTAAAATGATAAATGTGTAGAGCAGATTTTAAATATAAAAGGGGAGACCTTTCTCTAAAATATGGATCTGAATACATCGAGGGTCTACAACATCAGGTTGCAAAAATATTGATGTTTTAAAAACTTAAATTTGTATCTAGTAATCAGATCCGTTTATCTTTTTTAAAATAAACTGTTTTGTCTGAGCTATCTTGAGGATTTAGTTGGGATGTTTGCAATACTTAACACCATGTTCATTCATAAAGGTATCCAACGGGGCCAGGTGAGGGGGGGGGGCGAGATAAGGGGGAAGGGAGAGGGGTAAATACATATTCAACTTCTTGAAAATTCGCACATATTTAGTCAGGCAGCAGGTCAATTATTCGACTTTTCTGAGGTTTTTAATATATTCATCAAATTATCATATACATGAACTTTTTAATAAGGGTGAATTTTGCTTTTCGAAATTAAAGTTTAAAACAAAGATTATCTTCAATGGAAAGAAATAGCTTTTATTAACTTCAAAGGATAAAAAATGATGTTTTAACACACATATATATATATTTCTAAATGAATACATGGGACCCCAGTAAATTTAATTTTAGCAAAAAGATAATTTTCAACAACAAAATCTTAAAATTCTGCAGAGCTATAAAACCTTTGAAAAATATTTGGATTTCCTACATCTGTAAATCTGAATTTGGAAAAGTTTGTTTGTGTGCTGATTCCTACATTGAAGTTTTATAATTTTAGTTTCGTTTTGGTTTCTAGACATTCGACAAAATTTAGACAGGATTATTTTTAAAATTAGATCTAAACAGGAACATAAGAGAGGGATAATAGACCTAAACAGAATCATACAGGGGGATAGTAGACCTAAACAGAGCATACAGGGGGAGATAGTAGACCTAAACAGGAGCATACGGGAGTATAGTAGTCCTAAACAGGAACATAAGAGAGCGATAGTAGACCTAAACAGGAGCATATAGTAGGGTTGTAGGCCTAAACAGGAATATAAGAGAGAGATAATAGACCTAAACAGGAGCATACAGGGGGATAGTAGGCCTAAACAGGAACATAAGAGGGGGGATAGTAGACCTAAACAGGAGCATATAGGGGGAAAGTAGGCCTAAACAGGAATATAAGAGAGAGATAATAGACCTAAACAGGAGAATAAAGGGGGATAGTAAACCTAAACAGGAACATAAGAGAGGGATAGTAGACCTAAACAGAAGCATATAGGTTGACAGTAAGTCTAAACAGGAACATAATAGAGAGATAATAGACCTAAACAGGAGCATGTAGGGGAATAGTAGGCCTAAACAGGAACATAAGAGAGGGATAATAGACCTAAACAGGAGCATACAGGGGTATAGAAGACCTAAACAGGAGGATACATGGAGATAGTAGACCTAAACAGGAGCATACAGGGAGATAGCAGACCTAAACAGGAACATACGAGAGGGATAGTAGGCCTAAACAGGAGCATATAAGGGGATAGTAGATCTAAACAGGAACATAAGAGAGGGATAGTAGACCTAAACAGGAGCATACAGGGTGATAGTAGGTCTAAACAGGAGCATACAGGGGGATAGAAGACCTAAACAGGAGCATACAGGGGGATAGTAGACCTAAACAGGAGCATACAGGGGGATAGTAGACCTAAACAGGAGCATACAAGGGGATAGTAGACCTAAACAGGAGCATACAAGGGGATAGTAGGCCAAAACAGGAATATAAGAGAGGGAAAAGTAGACCTAAACAGGAACATACAGGGGGATAGTTGACCTAAACAGGAGCAAACAAGGGGATAGTAGACCTAAACAGGAGCAAACAAGGGGATAGTAGACCTAAACAGGAGCAAACAAGGGGATAGTAGACCTAAACAGGAGCAAACAAAGGGATAGTAGGCCTAAACAGGAACATAAGAGAGGGATAGTAGACCTAAACAGGAGCAAACAAGGGGATAGTAAACCTAAACAGGAATATAAGAGAGGGATAATAGACCTAAACAGGAATGTTGAATACGAACAGTGGACCTAATCTTGCTTTCAGAAGTAGTTGTTGTCATGGACCTTTTATCAGATTTAACTGCAAAAAAATCTTATTCATTTCTCAATATTGTAATAAATTGATGTTTGTCATTATTTTTATGATTTTATACATTTCAAAATATTATATAATCTATAAATTGATTAATTTTAGATAACTCCTACCCACGTGTCCATTAAGCGGTGTGATGGAGGTTGCCATCAACTGGGACATGCATGCCTACCCAGAACCGTTGAGGTGAGATGATTAACTTTTCAAAAGGGCTTGGGATTCAAAATTTAATATTTTAGAGAAAAAGAATCGAGTCTTTCCCCCAAACCTTGATTTTATAACTCCTTATAACTTTGGAACTTAATCTAAGTTTGAATTATTTATGGTCTTCACCATCAGAATGCAAAAATATATGATATCAGATAACATATTTTTTGGCAAAAACTCAATGTTACGAGTAGGTGCTTAATTAAGAGTACATGAAGCTAATACATAACTGATTTATTGCCAAAATTATTTATTTTTTTTATTTATACATCTTAGCAACCAAATGCATAAATTTAGATGGTTCGGATCCTTTTTATATTTAAACCTTCAAATTAGGATGTTCCGGATCCCTGTTATGATTTAAACCCTCAAATTTAGTTGGTTCGGATCCCTGATATTAGTTAAACCTTCAAATTAAGATGTTCCGGATCCCTGTTATGATTTAAACCCTCAAATTTAGTTGGTTCGGATCCCTGTTATTATTTAAACCTTCAAATTAAGATGTTCCGGATCCCTGTTATGATTTAAACCCTCAAATTTAGTTGGTTCGGATCCCTGTTATTATTTAAACCTTCAAATTAAGATGTTCCGGATCCCTGTTATGATTTAAACCCTCAAATTTAGTTGGTTCGGATCCCTGTTATGATTAAAACCTTCAAATTAAGATGTTCCGGATCCCTGTTATGATTTAAACCCTCAAATTTAGTTGGTTCGGATCCCTGTTATTATTTAAACCTTCAAATTAAGATGTTCCGGATCCCTGTTATGATTTAAACCCTCAAATTTAGTTGGTTCGGATCCCTGTTATGATTAAAACCTTTAAATTCAGATGGTTCGGATCCCTGTTATTAGTTAAACCTTTAAATTTAGATGGTTCGGATCCCTGTTATGATTGCTAAATGCGGGATTGATTCTGGTATCTGTGACAAGGCCTGTGCATCTATAGAGCTAGAGGAACATACGGGTAAATAATCTATCATTACAATATTATTCATACTTGGAATCAGATTAAGATCACGTTCAAAATATGCATCATGTCCCAATTTTTGGGATTATGATATGGCTAGGACAATTTTTTTATGGAATTATGTCTAAGCCTATAAATGCTCAAAACTAATTACAGTTATGTCCATTGAAATCCGTCATGAAGTGTAACAAAGTGATTATTTTCAACGTTTGTTTTCATTTTGTCCCAGAAAAAAACATGGGTTTCTTGTAATAAAATGATTAATAAAACTAAAATTTCTTACTTAGTAGACTATCAAATCCAAAAAAAGGTTTTATATCTAATGAAGGCCCAAGGGCATATACAGACTTTGGTGAATGATTTGGATTAAATAGATTTATGTTAAAAACTTTTGATAAAGATAAAGTCAATGCGTAAAAGTCAAATTTAAGTGCAGATTTGGGAAAACTAGTTTTTATCATAATACTGAATTAATTGGCTCGCATCTGGAGTTTTAAAAGTCATTCCATTTATTCAATTTATTCCAAATAAATCTTTAAAATTTGCAAATTAATTATTTTAGGACTGATGATGGCAAATTGGGAGAACAAAATGATTAAAATCTTTGATCTTTTTGTCTTGTTATTAAACAATTAAAAAGAAAAATCATTTTTTATTTTATTCCCTTTTATAAAAATATTTTTATCTTATGCAATTTAGTTTATATATTAATNATTTTCTTTAATCCTCTACCCTCCCCCCCCCCGGTTTATATCTAGATATAAAGGGTTAACTGGCGCATATGTGCAGCTAATCTTAAATCCCAGATTTTTATCTAAACTATTCATTTATCATTAAATTTATCTTTATATCTTTATATAAACCACATTCAAGAGAATTTATGCTAGATAATGAAATTCGTATTTCAATCATTATTGATAAAATAATAATACAAATAACATAAAATTAATTGTAAAAGAGAATGATTCCAAAACACGAATGAATATAAGAAATAAAAATAAAAGTTTTGATGAATGATTTACTATATACTAGATAAATAAAACTGAATAAAGTCATGTATGATATGAAAATAAGTAAATCATCAACAATGTGATAATAAATTATGTCTCTTGTAGAGTGCGCGTGTTCGTGTCAGCTGCGGCCTGGAGACTGCAACGAAAACCAAGATTTTCGACCTGATCTCTGCTCTTGTCAATGCCTGGACATTCTTGGTCGTCAATCTTGTCTAGACCGAGGACGATCTTGGGACGAAAGCTCCTGCACTTGTGGGTGCCCTTTACACCAACAGTGTGCCCCAGGATTAGTTTTCCAAGACGCGTCCTGCTCGTGTTCAGCTCCGGGTCTGGATGATGTTCAGGTTTTCGGAGAAAAGCGTAGTGGAGAAGAACCTCAATCTTTCCCAACCCTGGAGCATATTATTATAGCAGTGCTCGCCCTCGTCATCATAATCCTCTTTTTCATCTTGGCAAACCTAGCGGTGAAGATACGTAAACTATCTGCTCGTATACGGTTTCATCCTGGATCTCCGAACCCTCTCACTGACTCAGATCTGGAGGTGAAACAGCTTCATCCAGGGAATCCTGTATATGGAGAGGGTTCCTGTAGCACACCTAGCTCAGGATTCTACTCAGAGATTATAGGAGCAGAGAGGGTTTATAAACGGGAGACTGACTCTCTCTACCACTCTGCGGAGAGTGTTAGGTTGAAGAAAAGGGTTGGAGATGAGAGATATGAGAAGGAGGATTCGAACCCTCCCATGAATATCATAGAGAACACAATGGTTGGAGACGAGGTGTATATCAGGTAAATAATTAATACAGGGCTCACCATGTATTTGTAGTTTCAGACACTTTTTTAATGAACTCTAATCTAACTTGTTAACTTTATCAATTTGTTATGTCTAGATTTGATCCCTTGGGACCCAGCTCTCAGAGTCCTGAATCTAGTATTGCTAGCTCAGAACTACAGTTTGATACAATCAAGAGAACCCAGGGGACTAGGGACCAGAAACCAGTTTGCTTTGCAGATACAGGTAATACCAATTTGTCCGCCATTTTTTTAGCTGAAATCCATCTTTGTATTTTTTATTTGCTTCAGTGTTTTTCGATCTTGTTTGAAATATTTTTGAGAACGATATACCTTTTTTGGCAGTCGTAATATTTTACTATCCGACTGCTTTTTGCTAAGGCTGTACTTTATAGTGCTTGCACTTTAATTTGAAATTTATAGGTTTTTTCTATTTAATACTTTCTTACCTTCTTCTACATTGGGTTGCAAAGAGGGGTTGTAAAATCAGAGTTTGTGGCAAGAAGTCGATTCCTTTGTATGAAAACGTATAATTTGTTTCAGGTGTTCAGTACGGTACAATACGTCATATAGATGGGTACACAAGTTTACAACGGAAACCCACAGATCTCTCCAGATACAATAGTTTATCCAGGTGCCCGCCTGACCATCAGCGGTCAGCCCACCCGGAGAAGTTAGATACACACGGCGCTAATATCTCTAGTTATGAATCAGCAACTCATCATATTGACGAGGCCTTGAGACTTCTACAGGAATCAGCTGATAATCTTTAAAGCATTTAATCCTTCAAGCAGTAGTATCTGCTTTAAAGAGTAGTAACTGCTTCAAGGAGTGGTATCTGCTTGAAGGAGTAGTATCTGCTCGAAGGACTAGTATCTGCTTGAAGGAGTAGTATATGCTTCAAGGAGTAAAATCTGCTTGAAGGAGTAGTATCAGCTTCAAGGAGTATAGTATCTGCTTCAAGGAGTAGTATCTTCTTCAAGGATTAGTAACTGCTTCCAGGAGTAGTATCTTCTTCAAGGAGCAACATCTTCTTCAAGTATTAGAATCTAATTTAAGGAGTGGTATCTGCTTCAAGGAGTAGTATCAGCTTCAAGGAGTAGTAACTGCTTCCAGGAGTAGTATCTTCTTCAAGGAGCAACATCTGCTTCAAGTATTAGAATCAAATTTAAGGAGTGGTATCTGCTTTAAGGAGTATTATCTGATCCCAAAAGTAGTATCTGCTTCTAGGAGTATAGTATCTGCTTCAAGTAGTAAAATCTGCTTCAAGAAGTAGTATCTGCTTCAAGGGGTACTTCAAGGAGTAGTATCTACTCCAAGGAGTAGATTATCTGCTTCAAGGAGTAGTATCTACTTCAAGGTGTAGTATTTACTTCAAGGAGTAGTATCTATTTCAAAGAGTAGTATCTACTTCAAGGAGTAGTATCTGCTTCAAGGAGTTGTATCTGCTTCAATGAGTAGTATCTTCTACAAGGGTTAGTATCTGCTTCAAGGAGTAGTATCTCACAAAACATCGAACATAAAAAACTATTTGGCGCTATTTTAATTTTTTCATTTAACTGGAGTCAAATCAGCAAATTATTCAGTTTTAAGATTACACAAGTTATAAAATGATATTTCTTTAAGAGAAGATGAAAAAGATTTAAAGTTTAAATGAAAATTCATTCTGAAAGAACCAAATGAAATTGTATAATTGGAAAACAAAAAGAGATTAAAAATCTTGAAAAACAAATTTACATTTAGAATATTTCCAGTGTTTTGTAATTTTTTCTTATTGTAAAATTGTAAATAGAAGGAATTGTTAAAAATAAATGTTGTACAATTTCATAAAAAATAAGATGTTCTTATAAAATAAAAAGTTGTGAACACTAACTTTCTAAAATTGATCAGAATTGACTATATTTCAAATCTAACCTCCCGTAAACCTGAAAATTACCATTTAATTAGCATGTCTCTAGCATTTCAGTGCCTTTCACTGATTAAAATAATGACAAATTGTACATAAGTCTACTTTTGTGTTTATGCCATGAGTGTATTGTGTATGTAATATGTATGTTGCATGTATGTGTATACTATACAGTATGGTATACGTATGTGTATGGTGTATGTATACTATACAGTATGGTACATGTGTGTGTATACTATAGTGTATGGTACATGTATGTGTATATACTCCAAAGAGTACGTAAAGGTGTATGTACAAGGAAGATATATGTGTGTGCATACTCTTGCGTACAACAAAAATACATGTGTGTGTATTCTCAAGAGTATGTACATGTGCACAAGGAAAATACATGTGTGTGTATACTCTAGAGTATGTACATGGGGGTGTACAAGGAAGATATATGGGGGTGTATATTCTAGAGTATTTACATGGGATTTTACAAGGAAGATACATGTGTGTGTATTCGATCTCTAGAGTATGTACATGTGTACAAGGAAAATACATGTGTGTGTATACTCTAGTGTATGTACATGTGTGTGTATACTCTAAAGTACGTACATGTGTATGTACAAGGAAGATACATGTGTGTGTATACTCTGAACCCCTACTGTGTTTCTCTCCTGGTAATTATCATCAACTCTCTAATATAATCAGAGAAATTATACATTTTTAATTTTTCTCCATCCCATCTCATACAGTATCTGTACTTACCTTCTCCATCCCATCTCATACAGTATCTGTACTTACCTTCTCCATCCCATCTCATACAGTATCTGCAAATAGATTATCAAGTACAATAGGTGGCAGCAGAGAAATGGACGTCACAAGTGTCTAATATAACAAGAAAAAGAAAATGTTCTCACATTAGTTGACATGTTTTCCAAGATGAAATAAAAAAAGTTTTAAAACAGAAAGTAAAGAACACATAAAATTTCACCTATTTTACTGTAAGATAAACACAATTTTGTCAGACACAAAAACTGAATTGCCACTTCTGACGTCAGATTACAGCTGCACTGAGAGTGTACAATTCTTCGTTGCCATCTATTGTACTTGACAATCTTTTTGCATTATTTGTACTTAATACCCCCCTCCCCCTTCGCTTCCTAAATTAATTTTTCCTCTTTTTCTTATTATCTTTCCATTTTCCTGTTTCCTCATATACCTCTCAATATGCTTTTTTTCCTTCCTTACTTAACACTCTCCTCCAAAGCTCTATTTATTTCCTTTCTTTTCGCTGACGTTTTTTCCTAATTCTCTACTTTTTTTACAGTCTTGCTTTCCAATTTCCTTTCATTCTACTATTTTCCTGTCTTAACTTTCTACTTATTTCCGATATTATCTTTGCTTTTCTTTTTTCTTCCTTTCCTTGATTCTCATTTTCTCCCTATCCTGTCAGTGTACTATACCTTCCCCTATTTCTATTTATGAATCTTATCTTGAACCCCTTGATGCATGCTCTATCTATCTATCTCTCTGACCGTTCCTCATGTATTCATCTGTCTATCTGTCCATCTATCCGTCTATCGTCTCTTTGACAGTCTATATTGGTATCACTGACTACATCTATGTATCTATTTATCCATATACCCTTGACAAGTAGAGATAGAGCATGAGAGAAGTAGTATATATACTACTCATACTAGGGGAACAAGATTTAGATGATAAATACACAGCAACGAGGCTATAGTATATATATAGTATAAAGTATATAGTAAAGTATTTATTTGGATGTATTTCTAAGTAAATTATATGATATGTACAGAATCAGTCATAAAAACTTCAAAATCCTTTTCTGTTTTCTTATGTTATCAAAATTAGACTAAACTTTTATATTCTCTAACTTTATTAAGAATAATTGATATGTGTAATTTTTTTATTTTGAGTTTGATAGATTTGATTACCTTTTCACCATAAATAACCACAATATGCTTTTTAAGTCAAAGGAAGTTTGATACTTTCTTTTTATTAAAAATCGTTTCATTCATACCATATTCTAATCATCTCTTAAATCTGCTCATATATTCATCCCATATTCTATTCATCTCTTTAATCTGCTCATTCATTCATCCCATATTCTATTTATCTCTTAAATCTACTCATATATTCATCCCATATTCTATTCATCTCTTAAATCTGCTCATTTATTCATCCCATATTCTATTCATCTCTTTAATCTGCTCATTCATTCATACCATATTCTTTTTATCTCTTAAATCTGCTCATATATTCATCCCATATTCTATTCATCTCTTAAATCTGCTCATTTATTCATCCCATATTTTATTCATCTTTTTATTCTGCTCATATATTCATCTTATAATTAATTCATCTCTTCAATCTGCTCATATATTCATCCCATATTCTATTCATCTCTTTAATCTGCTCATATATTCATACCATATGCTCTTCATCTCTTTAATCTGCTCATTCATTCATCCAATATTCTATTCATCTCTTAAATCTGCTCGTTTATTCATCCCATATTTTATTCATCTCTTTAATCTGCTCATATATTCATCTTATAATTAATTCATCTCTTTAATCTGCTCATATATTCATCCCATATTCTATTCATCTCTTTAATCTGCTCATATATTCATCCCATATGCTATTCATCTCTTTAATCTGCTCATATATTCATCCCATATTCTATTCAGCTCTCTAATCAACTCATTTATTCATCCCATATTCTATTCATCTCTTTAATCTGCTCATTTATTCATCCCATATTCTACCCATCTCTTAAATCTGCTCATTTATTCATCCCATATTCTATTCATCTCTTTAATCTGCTCATTCATTCATCCCATATTCTA